TCTAAGATGAGTCTCTGGTTAAGACAATATAGAGTGCGGTCTCTATCTAGTCATGTCCAATAATTAACTGTAATACCAAATACCAAATCTACCCTTTCACATACTGCTAATACCAAATCTATCCTTTCACATACTGCTAGTATCAAATCTACCCTTTCACATACTGCTAGTATATACTAGCAGTAGAATGTACCGTAAAAAGTCCTCTAATAATGTTATACAGGTGGTGATTGGTTGCGACGGGTGGAACTCGGTGGTGGCCAGGTACGTGGGGCTAGGCGCGCCGTCGCAGCTCCCTCGTTTCATCGTCCTCGGCTTCGCGAGCTACCCAGAGGGGCACCCGTTTGGGACCGAGTTCTCGCAAATCATAGCGGATGATTTTGCCGTCGGACGGGTGCCCATTAACGAAAATCTGTTGCATTTCTTCGTAAGCAGGAGTCCCTCACCAGGTATAATTAATTAACCTATGGTTTAATAATGGCATTGGCAGGTAATTTAATTTTAAGCATTAATTAATTTATAAAGTACACATGTGTCCTGTAATATTTTGATTCGGATTTACGGTTCCTTGATAGTCGACGTTTTGATAAAGATGAAGTCAAACTTTTTAAAAAATTTAACTATTAATAACTTTTAAAAATATTTAGTTTGATGATACTAAAGCAAACATATATAAATTTATCAAACAAAGTACTGTAATAAAAATAAAAATTTGTTTATTTATTTATTGTATATTACTTTCTCCGTTTCACAATGTAAGTCATCCTAACATTTTCCACATTCATATTGATGCTAATGAATATATATATATATATATATAATGGATTCATTAACATTAATATAAATATGGAAAATGCTATAATGTCTTACATTGTGAAATGGAGGGAGTACAATAGAAAAATATGGTAAAAGATAGGAGTAATATCACTGTCCAAAATTAAGAATTACGGAGATGAGTGACTAATTAATTAACTTTGTCAAGAACGTGTTTATCGATCCAGGACGTACGGACGTTGATGAGGACGCGGCGAGGAAGTACGTGCTGGAGAAGGTCGACGAGCTCCCCGGCGAGGTCGCCGACATGGTGCGTCGGTGCGACGCGGCGTCGAGCTGGACGCTGACGAAGGTGTGGTACCGGCCGCCGTGGCAGGTGGCGCTCGCCGGGTTCCGGCGCGGCGCGGTGACGGTCGCCGGCGACGCGATGCACGCCATGGGGCCCTTCATCGGCCAGGGCGGCTCCGCGGGGCTGGAGGACGCCGTCGTGCTCGCCCGCTCGCTGTCGTCGGCGGCGGCCGGCGATGGCCGGGCGCCGCCGCGTCAGCAGCTGCGCGACGACGCCGTCGGCGCGGCGATAGACGAGTACGTCGCGGAGAGGCGGCGGAGGGCGACGACGCTGTGCCTGCACAGCTTCGCCATCGGGACGTTGCTGACGACGAGGTGGCTCGCCGTGAAGCTCGCGTGCGTCGCCGTCCTGGCGCTCCTCGGCGGCGACTCGCGCCGTGATGCGGACTACGACTGCGGCCGCCTCTAGCGGACCATCCGTTTCGTTTATTCGCGAAACAAGTCAAACGATATATTTATAAACTAAAAGTAATATGTTTTATATACGTGTTCTTAACGATCAAAAAGCAAATGCTGAAAATAAACTTCGATGAAGAAATCTCAAAACCAGCTTTAAATTTAATGTTGCAAATTCAAAATTTAGGTTACACACAAGGAAAAAAAAGCACTATGACGAGAATAGCATCTATAAACACACCTTGTTAATTTAGTAATTAGCTCCTCTGGGTGGTTAATCAGTGAGTATCATGTTGATTGTTGAGGTAGGAGTGCAACAGTGAGTATCAGTACTTATTAGTATGCAATAAATCCGATGATAATCTTGTTTCAAAAGCTGAACAAAAGGCTGTGGACATCACTTTGATTTAGGAAGTCCCCGTTCCCACCCCCACCCCCCGCGTTGCCCACGCGCTAGCAACACGGGGGGTGAAAACCCTAGCAGCGCCGCCACCTTCCCTCTCCCCCCTCCCCCACCTCATCGCCGTTGGAAAGCCGGCGAGCGAGCTATGATGGTGGCGGCGGGGCTTCCTCCATGGCGGCGACCACTATCAGGCGCGGGAGAGGCGGCGAACGGCGGCGGCCCATCCTGGCGAGGAGACGGTGGATTCGGCGCTGCCTTCGCCGGATCTGGCCATCCCTTGGCTCAGGGGCGGAACTGGGCCTAGGGCAGCTTGGGCCCGGGCCCTACTCATAGCAAAATCGTTAGTGAATTAATACCCATATATTTCTCAAATTTTTACAAATCCTCATGGTCCAGCCCTACTCGTCTGGCCTAGCCCCACATGGCCTTTCCCAGGCCCCAGGTGTCCCAGTCTTCCCAGCCCAGTAGACAGCCCAGTAGAAAAGCCAACCCTAGTCCCCACCTCCTCAGCTCCTCTCGTCTTGCTCTCGGCTCTCCCCATCACGCAGACGCAGCAGCGCCGCCGCATCCCGCTTGTCCTCGATTCCTCGGCATCAGCGCTGCGCATCGGGGCGGAAGGGAGCGGCGCACCCGTGCCACAGCGGCGCGAATCGATGGAAGGAGGCAGCGCGCATAGGAGGCGTGTCTCGGCAGCGGCGCGCGCATTGGCGTCGAGCCGGCGACGGGCCGACGGCAGCGGGCTAGCAGCGCTTCCGTAGTTCCCCTTTCTCATCCACCTCGCCTCAAAGCTTGGTTCACCAAATCTAGGTCAATGTCCTCTCTAATCTTTGATGTTCGATCTGCATCCAACATCCTTATTCTTCTTTTGATAGCAATTAGTCTCAATTAGAAATTGGTTTGATTTTTTAGATGAAGAGGAATAGAACTTTAAAATCATTCTACCAAGTCCCAATCCAGTGAGTCCACTTCAACCCAGAAACATGAGAAACAATTTGTAACTTGCATCATTTCAGCAATGAAATATTTAATTTGGTACTTGATGAAATTATTGTTGAGTTAAACAATCGCTTTGCTGAAAGGTCTACTCGGCTATTAAGATGCATTGCTTGTCTTGATCCAAGGAATTCTTTTACCAATTATGATGAAGATAAGGTCATTGAACTTGCTAAGATATATGTGGCTAACTTTTTAAATATTATTGTATAGTGCTTAGAGATCAACTTGACACATTTAGTTCAACTTGACATATTTAGTTTAATCTTGTTTTTTTCTATACTTTTACTGTACTTCGTTGTATGATTAGAAATTGTATTTCAGTCTTGCATTTTTTTTCAACTTCGTTGTATGATTAGAAATTGTATTTCAGTCTTGCATTTTTTTTCAACAGTGTATGCATTGTATGGTCCTCATGGATAGTTTTAGCCTTTAATTTGAGCCCTAGGCGTGTAGAGATCCTGGCTCCGCCACTGCCTTGGCTAGATCCGGCCGGAGCGTGGGAGCTGGCGGCGGCGACAGCGCGGCGTTGGCAGCAGAGGCCGCCGCGGCATGGCGGGGTGCGAGGCCAGCGCGGTGGCATAACAAGGGTAGCGGCTACGACGCGATGACACGCCAGCAACGGCGTGATGAGGCGGCGGCGACGATGCGATGACACGCCGGCGACGGCGCTTGCACTGCTGCTGGCGGCGCCCGCCGCGGCAAGGCGGTCGGCCACTGCAGAGGACGGCAAGGCGTAGTGGTGGGAGCCCCTGGTGCCCGACGGTGGTCGGCCGTTGGGGACGACGGCGACGGCGTCGGTGGCAGCCGCGGCAACACCCGTGGTGGTAGCAGCAGTGGTTGACGGTGCGGAGGCAGAGCTCGTCGCAGCGGCGATTGCAAGCACGGAGCTCGTCATGGCGGTCGCGTCAGCGGCTGGCAGGCGACAGCAGGTGGCTGGACGACGGTAGCAGCGGCTGTTGTAGCGATTGTGGTTGCGGTGGGAGGATGCACTGTGGTGGCGATCGTGGCTGAGGTGGGAGGAGGCATGGTGTCCTCGGACGGCTAGCCGAGGGCGTGGAAGACGGCTGCATCTGGCCGGCGCGGCAGCGTTTGGAGGAGGGTCGAAGATTGGCTTGGCGCGGCAGCGTTTGGAGGAGGGTCGAAGATTGGCTTGGCGCAGAGAGAAGCAGCTGATGGCAGCGGAGGCTGGCTCGACGCGAGATGGCGCGGGCGGCGGAAATGGAGGACGGCTTGGCGCGAGAGGCGCATCAGGTGGAGGAGGCTAGCTTGGCATGAGAAGCGCGGTCGGCGGTGGAGGAGGCGACCTCGGTGCGAGGAGAAGTTGCCAGTGGGTGTGGCGCGGCCTACAGCACACGAATGCTGGTCGGCAGGGGGCGCCGGTGCAAGGGTCCCACATGTCGTCAGAGGTTGAGTGGTGGTGGAGCATCGGTGCATCAGCCGTGGATTCGCAGGTGGTGAGCGGTGGGTGAAAACCCAGCCCGGCCTTGGCCGAACTGACAAGGATGGTTAATTCCTCCTTCTGAGGGCGTTGTCATGCTCTCACCCCTAAAGGTTGGTTGCCGGGCGAAAGCCAAGTCTTGGCTCCTTTGAGCCCCGACGGACGGTGGCGGCGGTTTTCCGTCGCTTCTCTTCTTGAAGATTTCGTTATGGCATCCCCTAGCTATGGGGCGATCTCGTCTGTGTTCCTTTGTTGGTCTAGCGGCGATCGGTCACGCTTAGCGGCGGCCGGTCCGGTGCTAGCCTTCTCCCGGATTTGTGTGTTGGCGCTGTCGGTGTGTGGGTGGTGGTATATTTTTTCCTTTTTTCCGGATTACAACCCTCCACAGGGTTGTAATCTTGTAATTTTTCCTGCTCAATCAAAATTAACTTTGCAGCGTCTCATGCTAGGCGTTCAAAAAAAAAAAACGTTGAAGGTTGAGGAGGCCATCGGTGTGAGGGTGTCCAGTGTTATCCCAGGAGTGGCCCAAATAGCTGGGCCATCAGTGTCCTTGTAGGCTTCAATTCTTGTAGGCCTTCCTTTGTTCGTGGGCCTATTTTGGAGTGGGCTGTAGCTGTCCGTGTAGGGAGTGAGTGGGCAGAAATCTGATAGTCAAGATTTGGCTGAAATTCATATTCGGCTCACAATTCATGGAACATACGGAGAGGGATGCTTCTCACTGCCATCCATACATTTCTCTTTGCTACTTGACTGATGAACAAATAATTTCTACTTAAATGTTTCTAATCTTAAAAATGAAATTGATATTTTCTAAAATCGTAGGAATTAATGGCGATTCCAGTTCGGTTCTACCGATATGTACAGGGAGATCGCCTTATAATACTTGACGACCTCGCCGCCGTCAATTCCGGACATGCGCGGCGGCGGTTCTTGCACCGGCCTCGGCCTCCGGTGGCCGTGCCGGCGTTGCCGCCTCCACGGCGCGGATGGCGACGGTGACGCTGACACCGTGCTCGACGTCGCCGTCGTCGTTGTCTCCTCCGGTGGCGCAGGAGCATGACGACGTCGACCCCGCCGCCCCTTGCCGCCCGAAGCTCCAGAGCCTTCTCAGTGACCTCAGCCGCGCCAAGCTCGGCGACGACCTCGCCGCCGCGTCGCGCGGGGTCGTCGAAGCCGCGGATTCGGGGATCTCGATCACCAGCGTGCTGCGGCCCTCCGCTGTCATGGTCACCGCGCCGGCGCCATGGTCGGACAGGCCGAGCAGGACGCTCGCCGGGAGGCTCACGGTGTAGCTCGCCGGCGGCTCCGGCGGGACGGGAGGAAGAGGCGGCGGCGGCACGACGACGGTGAGGCGGCAGAGCGGGCAGGTGGAGTGGGAGCCGAGCCACATGTCGACGCACTCGGCGTGGAAGCCGTGGCCGCACCGGGGGAGGAACCTGGCCTCCTCGCCGTCCTCGAGCTCCGCGAGGCACACCGCGCACTCGACGCCGTCGTCGTCCTCCTCCTCCTCCTCCTTCGCCGCCGCCGCCGCCGTGCTGCGGCTGTACACCGTGACCGGCAGCGACCGGAGCACCTCCGGGTCGACCCCTCCTCCCGTTCCACCGTCCCCGCCGCTCCCAGAGCGCCGCCGCGGCCGCGGCCGCCGCCCGCGCCCGCTCGTCGACGTCGTCGTCACGGCGCGGCGCCGCTCGTCGCAGTAGCACTGGAGCAGGACGAAGGCGAGCGTGAGCGCCGCGAAGACGATGAGCACGGCCGCCACGGTGGCGATGCCGCCGGCCGTCATGGCTGCCTGCCCTGCAGGCGCGGACACCGGCGACGGCGACGACGACGACGAAGACTCGTCCATGGCGGGGCCGCCCTGCTCGACACCCCGCACCATAATAATCGACCGTCACATGCATATGTGACCGCGCGCACTCGAGCTCGCGTCGCATATTTATACACACACACACATAGCGGAGTAGTAGGCTAGAGTGGTAGATGGAATGAGACGCGGTGAGATGCGAGCGCAAGCAGAGGCTTCCTGGAAGGGGGATGCGCGCCTGCGGGGCTTGGGCGGCAAGTACTTGTGTTGGTGTTTGCTAGCGCGCGCGCATTCGTCTTCGTCCTCGTCTTCCAAACGAGCTATCAACGTCGTCCGCTGTTGATGTTGATGCAGGCAAAGTGGTGTTTGTGCGTGGGCAACTTCCATTTGGTTTGGGTACCACTACTACAGAACCCAAATAGATGTGCTGGTTCATAACAAACCGGCCCTAATTATTAATTATAAGAACCGGTTACGCGTATAAACCGGCACCGATATGTGCCGGTTATTTTAAAAAAACAATATACACCAACCGGTTCTATTTATTAAAAAAACCAGGGCAACTATATTCATCCGGCCGCGCACTTCAGTACCTGTGAATCCTCCTATATGTGCTTGTTTATTTGAAAAAAATGGTACCTATAGTTCTAAAACCCACACCTATACTAATAGGGATTGGTACCTATAAATTGGTTCCGGCTGAGAAACCGACACCTATAGTCAACTAGCACCAATATGAATTTCTCCAGCAGTGTATGGTGAGATCGAGTTAAATCAGTTTTGGATCAACGGATGCAATGTCCTCTACTCCTCTCGTTCATTTGCATATCGTTTAAATAGTATGAAAAGAAATAAGATATATTAATATGTGATATATCATTTTAGGAACATATAACTTAGAAAAATATGATTGTGAGTACATATATACTGGTTAAAGTTAGGTTTTGTTGTTCTAAACTTTAACATGTATGTTTGTCTAGTGGGTATATCACATATCAATATATCTTGTTAATCTTTTTAAGAACTTTTTTTTAAAAAATGGGACTATATAGTGCATGTGCACTAATTAGGGCAAACTAGTTGTCATCCTGACTAAATGATGGAATTAACATGTAGCTATTTTATTTAAAGCTTAGGTGGTAGGAATATATTTTCTACTTATTTGCTAGATGAACTAGTACAAATTAGATTTTTCTGAACATCACATTTGCAGACAACATCAAATGACCTGCACTAATTAGATTACATATTTAATTTCAAACTACTCTCTTCATCCAAAAATAAGTTTATTTTTTACTTACTCCACACATAACAATACAAAAGCTAATCCTATTCACTTTATCAAATCCTAAATATTATTGTAATTGTTTTTTCACTTTATCTACTTCCAATATCGTATATATCCTCTACTTTTACAAATTCTAGTACAACGATTGCTTAAAGATAAACTCATTTCGGAACGGATGTGGCATTATTTCGATGATACGCAATATGGAGCAAAACATCCCCGGCTATAATCCACACTTCCGATGGCAATATGAGCAGTTTTTAAGTTTTTCTTTTGGACTGATTGGGACCGGACCGCCGCGGGTAACGACCGAAGAAGAGCAGAAAACAGCAGGTGGCCGCGCGCATGCAGACAAACTCCAGCCTCCAGGTTACCAAGATGACGCTTAAAACACGCACGAGGAAGCCATGCGTGAGGCAGCAGGAACGCCCGGGCTTCGTCGCGAGCTCGCCCAGTCCAGCTGCCGACACGGACATCTGCGGTCAAAAGGACAAATTAACTTAGACACGTGAAGTACTTCCTCCATCTTAAAATGTATCTACCTAGTACTTTCTCTGTTTTATATTATAAGACTTTCTAGCATTGCTGACATTCATATGTATGTTAATAAATCTAACATATATGTGTGTTTAGATTCATTAATATCTATATAAATATAGGCAATGCTAGAAAATCTTATAAACTAAAACGGAGGTAGTACTAGATATGTATCTACCTAGTACTACGAATCTGAACAGCCTCCTATCCAAATTTGTATTACTAGATAATGTCACATCTAGTACTTAGATAGTTATATCTTGAGACGGAGGTAGTAATAATTAAGGCAAAATCTAAATCAAGAGGCCTCTCGTTTTAGTGCTAACGAGAGACCCTATTTGCCTTAGTACTAGTTCCCATTAAGTAAGTAGAAAATATAATCCTATCACCTATGTTTCAAATAAAATTTTCTCTTAAACTACTCATCCGATTTATGATTCGATTACACGGTTGTGTTCGTAAAAATTAAATCTTTACAACAAGATCTCACATGATTATATTTTGATGAAAAACTACAAATTACTTTTATGGTATATCTAAATTACTTTTAGATTTCACTAAATTACTTCTTACACATATAAAAATAATTTTAGTAGAGCTTAAAAGTAATTTACATATATTATAGAAGTAACTTAAGACAAAAAAGAAAGTAACTTTGTCATGACATTAAAAGTAGATCCGTTATGGAGGTAAAAACGTGAGTCTATCTAAAAATTAAATTTAATCAGCACAAATTATAGAATTGACTAAAAAGGATAATAGAATAAACAACTCACAACATTATGATTGTATAATAAGTAATTTAATCAAATCGAAAAGTAATTTATATATATATGATAAAAGTAACTTACATATATAATAAAATTAATTTACAATATAGATATTTCTTTTATCAAAATATAGTCATGTAAGATCTTGTTGTAAAGATTTAATTGAAACGAACACAATGGTGTAATCGGATTAAAAATCGGATAAATAATTTAAAAGAAAAATCTATAAGAAGAAAAAAAAATGTATCATTTGGTGTACTAGTATGCAACCAGGTCTAAGATGAGTCTCTGGTTAAGACAATATAGAGTGCGGTCTCTATCTAGTCATGTCCAATAATTAACTGTAACAAGCATCATTTTCCTTTGCCAGATGATAATTAAATAAATACATGAACCTTATAAAAGTTCTATCAAGACCACAAATACTGTAACTGTATCTTCACTATATATAACACACACACACACACAAAAAAACCTTAATTTGGCCCGGACATGCCCGTTTTGGTAGGTTTAGCGACAAATAAAACCAAACAGAGTCCATAACCTTGGTCAGCAGTGCCGAAAGAAACTGGATTAGCGTTAATTAGGAAAAGCTTTTGGTTTTGGGGTCACGTAAGCAGCGAAGCCTAACCTGTACATCCTCTCTGTTTTTAAATATATAATGCTGTTGACATCTAGACATCATCTTATTAAAAGAATTTAGTGCAAAATATGCAAATAATTAAGTTAAACCTAAAGTACTTTTAGTGATAAAATAAATTACAATGAAATAATTTATATTGACAAGTCTTTCGAATGGTTGTTAAAAAAAATCAACCACGACATATATTATTTAAAACGTAAGAAGCATATCAGGTTCATGTAGCAGGGGGGAAAAACACCAACATGCTTACTCAGATTTTTGCCCATTCATCAAGTAATACAGACACCTTCAAGTTGTTGAGAAAGATATTACTCCCTCCGTATTTTATTTTAATGTATGACGCCATTGACTTTTAACCAACGTTTGACCACTCGTCTTATTCAAAATTTTTATACAAATATAAAAATACTTATATCATGCTTAAAGAACATTTGATGATAAATCAAGCCACAATAAAATAAATTATAATTACATAAATTTTTTGAATAAGACGAAAGATCAAACGCTTGTAAAAAAGTCAACGGCGTCATACATTAAAATACGGAGGGAAAAATACGGAGGGAGTACTAATTAAGAATCTAGGATGAAGTCCAGGCTTTTTGGACAAGTCATTGAAATTTTGGATGGTGAGAATTAATCATGCTGGCTTCTCGTCCTACACCATGCATATTCTCTGGAAAAAAAAAAGGGGGAAAATAACAGAACAGCATTCAATAATACCAGACATGTCACTGTTGTGGACTTAACTAATAATGTGCCACAACGTAGCAAATTTCTCGTTGCCACGCTTGAATCGACCATCTTTTTTTGTTTCTTCAGTTTGACTATTATACTTTTATTTTTCTTACAGGCGGCTTCACTACCCCATGATTGGTCTGCTGTCACAATCCGACCTCCCATCTTTTTAACCCTAACACTAATCTATAAACTATATTTGTTTATTTTATTTTATTTTCAAAACATAGTATCGACGCAAAGCACCCATGTATACACGTGCACACACTCACTCATATAGACATGGAAAAAAGATCTTACGAAATGAGCTACTTCCACTAGTATATCTAATTCATACCGGTACTCGTTAGGTACTTGGTTGGAGAAAATTCTACATCAATAAAAAGATCTGGGCATTGGTAATTATGTTGTTTATAGATTGTATTAAAAGTTTGCAATAAATAAAATATTATATTGCAATAACATGTACTTCCTCCGTTCTCAAATAAGCTAACCTCGTACTAGGATGTGACACATATTAGTACAACGAGTATATGTCTAGATTTATTGTATTAGGATACATCACATCTTAGTACGAGGTTGACTTATTTTTGTATGGAGGGAGTACTCTTTAGGCCCATTATCTACTCAAGATCTGTAAATCTGCTTGCTGATATTAGATGATTTTTACTGGGCCGAATTTGTAGAACTGGCTTTTAAACGGAATAAGTCTATTTTCCTCCCTCATCTCTTACTCGATTGATTTGTCTGCCTCGACCACAAAACCGGGTATAACACCTCCTACATATTTGAAACCAATGAAAATCGACTCCTTCGATGATTTCAGAAGCGGTTTCTTTAGGTGAGACCCACATGTCAATGAGATATGATAAAAAGATATGGCAGCCCCACATGTCAGGTCATCACCCTCCAACTCATCACCCCAAAGGTCCCCACCCCCATGGCTGAGCCAAGAACCCACAACCACCCCCTCCCTCCCCATGCGGCGGTGGCACCGGAAACATCGTGGAGTGGCTGCCCCAGAAGCTAGTGCTACCATCGATCTGACCCGGCGTCATCGGCCCCGCTTCGCCTTTCCTGGCTTGACCACTACCCAGCCCAGATGGCACTCATCGAGTCGCTTCACATCTTCAAGCCCAATTTGGT